CTACATGCTTAACAGTTCCAATCATCTCCCCGAACAACGATCCTGAAATACACTAAAATCATGAGAGAAATTAGCAATACAATCAATACTACATGTCAACTACTTAACAGATAAAAAGTTACATTTCAATAGTGGTACATGTAACACAGATTCCAGACTTAGACAGATCGTTAGAATAACAAACCATTAACCAACAATGGAATTATTGGAGTCATCCGCAATTCTGACCATATCTTTTCCATGACATGGATAGTATGTCGATAAAGCTTGCGAGCAACTAGTCATATGGTCCGTAGAGGTCGACCTTGACGGATGTGTGAGGTCGACGGGCCAGCAGAGAACTGATTGGATCCAAGTAGCTTGATTAAATGCTCCATTTGTATTTGCAGAGAGTCGGATGATTTTGGAATGTTCTGGGTAGGAGCCAGTTGAATCGTGGTATACTTTGATGTTGTAGTAAGACTCTTGACAGCAGAGGATTTGGTCGAATATTTATATGTCGATTTTCCGTGGAGCTTCCAAAACTTATCACAAGTGTGGTTGGCTCGCGAGGGCTGAGCGCTATTAAAAACCAAAGTAGACGATTCGGTTGAAGGGGTGGAAGTTCCGAGCATGACAAGTCTCTAGTTCTCTTCAAAGCGGATCTTGGTGAAGGCAGCACGAGCGGAAGAGAATCCCAACCAAGAATACGACCCCGGACTTCATCAAGACCTTTGTTGAGGCCTGTCCAGAATTGGAACATACGATCATTTTATACAATTTTCTGGAAGAGAGAAAAGTCGACCTAAGAGTCCCAAGTGTAGTTCTAATACAAGTTGCATTTCATACATAGTGCCACCAGGCCATTCTAGTACTAGGTCACGGTCATTGATCTCTATTTTGCCTCTCGGATCTTCTTAGGCACTTCATAGAGTTTGTCGGAGTTTCTTACATCTGAGTAGATATCACGGACTGTCGTCCAGAGGGCACTAGCAGAAGGCATGAACATATATGAACGACCAATCGAAGGTAGGGCTATCAAAACAGCTCGTTTGCAAACAGTTCGTGTTCGCGTTCGATTAGTTCGCTATGTTAACAAACCGAACATAAACATTTTTTTGGGCTTTATAAATAAATGAGTCGAACACGAACAAAGATTTGTCCGGTCATATTCGGGACATTTTGGCTCGAAAAAATTAAATTATATATATATTAAAAGGAAATCAGTATTTGACAAAGGCCCAAATACCGATTTCACATGCACTAGGCCCCATGATGAGAGTCCGCGTCATGTGCCTAAATATTCGATAACCCAACATCACCGGGGATCGAACCCGTGACCTCAGGGGACTTAGAGTGGACCCCGCCAACCAATAGGCCACAGCTTGCAACACACACACACAAATAAATACATAAATAAAAATAAATAAATAAATAAATATCCATATATATATATAATTGATAAATAGTAAGTGCCTACAAACCTACAAAGATTTATAATCAATTAAATATATTAATTTAAAAAATAGAATAAAAATATATTAAATTAAATTAAAATGATATTTTAATATAAATAATAAGATTTAATTCTCGGCCAACCCTTAACATACTACGGCTTAGTGACTAGAGTTATCAAAACGACTCTTTGTTCGCGAATAGCTCGTGCTTCGCTCGTTAAGCAAACGAGCCGAATACGAACACTTTTTTTTTGTTCGAAATATAAATGAACCAAATATGAATAGTGATCTTTTTGAATGAGCCGAACACACGCTGAGCCTAGACTCATTTGTGTTCGGCTTGTTTACACCTCTAATTGACGGTTCCATGAAATTGATCAGCCATAACATGACCATGAAGTTCTCCGTTTCTCAAACTCCATATGTTGGGTCAATCTCGGAGGTTCACGAATTATGCTTGTGACGTGACCGAATTTCATGCATCCTTTAATGAATAAGGACATCTCTTGGAACCATTATAGAAAGTTAATTTTGTTTGGTTTGTGAGTGAAGATCAAGAAGTTCATGTTGGCTTCTGGTCCTCCGGTCAGCATGGGAACAGAGGTTGGAGTTGAACCTCAGGTGGAATTAATAACACTTTCAGATGAGGGCCTGGTGATGGAGGAGTACGCTATGATTCCTACTGAGCCAATAAAAATTTGGTTGGGATTCTGAGACATCGCCGGATTTCAGCTTTTAGGTCACCAGCTGTTAGGTAAAAAAAAGGCAATCCAAACAACTGCAAGAGAGAATAGTTGTTGGAGAAAAAAATAGCAGGGAGGACCTACAAGGACGTCTAGTGAAAGAATCTGCCCTAGAGCAGGGAGGAGGTTGACGGTTGCCAAGTTGGTCGGCGACTGTAGGGGACAACAGGGGAGGGCAGATAGCTGCTAACTTCAGCTGCAAAGGCTGGCGGCTAGGAGCTCCTGCGGGAAACCCTGCAGGGAAGGTTGGCGGTGGCTAGGATCTAGGGTTAGATTCCAGCTCTAATACCATGTTGAAATATTGGAGTAGAACAACATTATCTTATTTTTAGAAAGAGGGGTACATAAACCCAATTATAACGGGCACTCATAAGCAAAGAAATAAAAAGCAGAATAAAGGGAAATAGAAAAGCAAATAACAACAAACAAAAGAAAATCAACAAATTAATAACGTCTAGGAGTAGCCATTATTATTTTAATATTCTAATAATTTAGATATCTGACACCTAAATTTTACTTTTTATATTTATACCACCCAAATCTTTCATATCAAGTACTACCATTTTAATTTTTAAAAAGTGAAATACACTTTTTCATGCATAGATAAAGTATGCAATACATTAGAATGAGGGGCATGCAAGTAAAAATTAAAGTTTAGATGTTAGATATGTAAATACATAGGAATTGAGTGGTATGTATATAAATTTTTGCACGAAGATCGCAGGTTGTGGTTTACTATGATGCTTTCTTGTGACAAGCATGAAAGTTTTAGCCTAATTCTGTGACTTGAGTGTAAGCTATAATTTAAAAGGTTTGCATTTGCCACTTTATGTTAGTTGTAACATGTCAGATATATTGATCGGATTATTGTTGGCCGATTGAGATGAGGAGTTTGAATTTAAAATTAAAAGCAGGTTTGATTATTATCTATGGAATAGATTAAACATGAATTTAGCTAATACTGCGCTAACCAAATGGATTACCATAGGGATAGAAATCTATAAATTGATTTTTCAAGGCATGTAAAAGTACAAAAACTTTGCTTGAATTTTTTCTTATAATTTGAATAGTGCGGTAGGAAAGTGGATATGTGATTCATTTAAGTCTGATGTAAACGCAATTAAAGAAATTAAGAGGAAATCATCTCCTTCTACCGGCATCAAGCCTAATTTTTCTTAAGCCTAATTTCTCTTAATTTAATAATTAGGCATTTTGTTATTATTTCAACATAATTTAATATTGGGTTAATTAGCGCTCCTGATTTTGCTCAAATTTAGCAAATAAAAACGTTAATTTGTGAAAATTAGATGATTATATCTCACTAATTTTGCATTGTTCTAAATTCTGGTTGAACTACTTAAATAATTTTTATCATTTCATCACCATTTGGGTTTAAATTCTAGTATTGCTTGCCTACATTTAAGAAAGTGAGTGGCTGAAATTTTTGCTAGCTTGAAATCCACAGTTTCCTTTACTACAAATCATATTAATTGTATTAAGAATCCTGAATCCTATGTCATCCCACATCATAGGATTTTTAAGAAATCATATTAGGATTCCTTTGCATACTACAAATCATATTACTTGTATTAAGAAACCCTAATCCCAAGTCATCCCACATCATAGAATTTTTAGAATATCCTTCCATTTCTATATATCGTTTTCTTCTTACATTCTTCACAAGTTAGAATCTATGATTTCTTATGTGCTTGCACGTACGAACAACAAAATTTTAATGGCAGTTGTTTTTTTGGGGCATTTACATTAATAGCCAAACATATTATCTATTTACATATCTCACACCTAAACTTTCATATTTACAAGCATTGCACTCAAATCTTTAATATCACATCAAAAATCACCACTTTTTAAAAGTGGAATACACTTTTTCATGCATAGGTTTAAATCAACAAAGTCCTATGTATGAAAATATGAAAGTTTAGGACTCAGATATTTATATGCATAAGAATTATGTGCTACTTCTATAAATTTCTCAAGTTTTTTTTTGTTTTCATTTATGCCCAGTTAGCTTGGATGGATAGTAGAATTATTCCACCTAATTAAGTTAGATATACACAAATAAGAGAGCGAGTGAATGAGTGAATGAGACAGAGGAGAACTCTTTTTGCATGGTATGCTGCTATATTACAAGAGACTTCCTAGTCATGCATTCAATAGAAAAACACATGGCTTGATTCGGTTGCACAATAGAATTCAAATTGAGTGAGCAGACAACTATGAAAATAAAAAAATGCTACTATATTTGGAAGACTTGAAACAGAGTAAATTAAAAATCAAATGAGAATTTTGAAATTGTATGGGATAAATACGAAAAGAGAGATTATTCAATCGGCAAAAAAGTGCAGAACCGGCCACATAGCTTAACAGAAATGATAAAAGAAGGATCAAACTAAAACAAAGATATGAAAAAGATAAAATTGCTGCAGCAGCAATTATCAATCAGTAAATGGAAAGAATGCTTTCAAGCAAAAACAAGAAATCTTAGTTAAGAAGATCTACATGCATACCACTTATTTCCTATGTATTTACATAACTAACACCTAAACTTCGACTTTTACATATATGCCACCTAACCTATGCATGAAAAGGTGTATTTCCTTTTTTAAAAGTTTAAATAGTATATTTTTTATGTGATGTAAAAAAATTGGATGGTGTTAATGTAAAAAGTTAAGTTTGGTTGTTAGATATGTAAATATATATGAATTGAGTGGCATGTATGTAAATGCCCCCATTCAGTTAAAAAAAATGGCAGAAGAATTTAACCAGGGATTAGAAGACAGTCATACAAAAAAGAAATTACCGGTCCACTTTTCCCTCTTGCTTTGTTGATGATCAACTCATAGAAACTGTATTGCTGAGAAATCAAAATCAAAGAATTGCATAAACTTTCCTCTCATTGAAACAAAAAGTTAATCAAAATTAGGGGTGTCAAATCAGGTTCGCTCATCGGGTTCAGGTCTGACCCAAAATTAACATTAGGCATAAAAGCTATTCTGGTCGTATTTTGATTGATTTCGGGTTGGTGGTTCAATTTTGAATCAATTTCAGATTAGCATGCTAGTTTCGAGTTAATTTTTGGTTGACTAATCAACTTGAACTCAACCCAAAAAATTAAACGGATAAGGATTCCTAACCAAAACCCGACCAGGAGATTATTCAAGTCAACCCGAACCTGAATTTGAATCAAGTTCAGGTCGAGCTGGCATGTCGGGTGAATTTTTGACGCCCGTAATCAAAACCACTGCAGAAAATAATGAGACGTACATGAGGAATGATTAGATCTTCTTTTACATAAACCAAGTTCTCCACCGACGTTGTTCTGATCTCCCGAAACTCGGGGGCAAGCTGCTGCTGAACAGCCCTAAGAAATTCTCCAATGGTGTCGCCTTTCCGAACCTAAACAATTAAATGATCAGAGGAAAGAAAGAAGAGGATCAAAAGAGTAAATAATGAAGGGGTGAATGCATCATTACCTGTATAACTCTCCTGTGCCCAGCACCATCCCAATAGCTGTAAGTAATTTCAAGAGGCTCATCTAGAATACATAAGATCGTAATTACCCAAAATATGTTTAAAACAACGAAATATTTCTTGAAAACTTACTTCGAATTATCTCCTGCTCACGTAGCCATTGCTTACATAATCGCTCCCTTTCAGCTTGTTCCTCAGCCTCTCTCTCACTGAAAGATCATCCTTGGTACCACCAAGTAAGGGATCAGCCAAGACAAGAAAAAACATACAATTAACTGAATAATAATTAGGGAAATTTACATAGGTAGCACACAATTCTTATGTATTTAAATATTTCACACCCAACTTTCCAAACACATGCATGAAAAGGTGTATTTGACTTTTAAGTAGTAATAGTGCTACTTTTTATGTGAGATTAAAAATTTGAGTGTTGTGTGTAAATATGAAAGTTTAGGTGTGAGATATGTAAATACATAAGAACTGTGTGCTACGCAAGTAAATCCCCTAATATTTCGGGGAAACAAACAATTGAATATAAAAATACCTATCAGGTAAAAAGCTAGTCTCGACTGTTGGGTCTTTTCCGAGCTTTCCATTCTTTTGACCTGAATGTTCATCCATTGAAAGATAGCGAACACATGTAAGCGTGGTGTTGTGACGATTTTGAAACACATCAACAGCTAACCAAACGACCAATAACTTTATAATAATAATTTCTTAAATTAGAAACAAACCAAAAAAAAAAAAAAAATGCTTCTTGTGCAAGCTTATGCTAATACAAGCAGTTGTCACTAAGACGATGAAACCACACTAATATTTATTTTAAAATTTCAGAGTTATGAATTGAAGTGTTTCTAACTCTCCACAATTACGAAGCCCGTCATTTTAAAAGCTAACAAGCCCACACTAGTCTACTATTCACTTAGAGAAAAATAATATGTATAAAGGGAGATACAAACAATTACTTACCTATCACTACAAAACATTAAAATAGAAATAATATCTGGAACAAAAATCCAGGGTCCATATAGGTTAGCAAGATTTGGAAGGTAAGCATGAATGTTAAGTAGTTTTGTATGAGCAATGCTTTTTATTTACTAAATAACTGTTTAAAATGATATGCTGATAGAACACAAGGACCTCATCAGAGACTATAAAACAATGTGAAGAGATTGGTGTCTCCAATACATTCAATTCAGACACTAATATTAGTTTGAACCCACATTATGACATTAAACCTTCCTGAGAACAGGAAATCATTAAGTTCATTTTACAGTTAAAAGCAAGAAATACAAATAAATAGAATCTACATTATGAAGGAAACAAAGTTTGAATCAAGATGATAATGATAACATAATCAACAAACATGGTAGGTCATAAAGATAATAATAATAAAATAAAAATAAATAAAAAACATGGTAGGTCAAGGATCCTGTAACAAATATTAAAAGATGTGTTGTTAGCTGGTAAAACATGTTACAGCCAGTTACAAATGATAGGAAACACAAAAGGAACAATTCCCAATTTTACCGGGACTTAGGATCAATTAGAAACTATACCACGTCGCGGAATAACGGGATCGCACCAATTAGATAAAAAACCGGAACAAAAATTAAAATAGAAGCACAATCAAAACAACCAAAAAAAATACACGAGAATTGACGTAGAAAAAACTCGAAAACGAGAAAAAAATACAGAACCACACCACCAAAAATTTCTACTATTAAATTTAAAAAATTTTACAAATAACTCACACAAGTTTTCACTCCACATACAAAGAAAACTTACAGAACTCACTCCACAATCTTCCATCTCCGATTCGACACAAAATCACACTGAATCACTGAAATCCACCTCTTTGACGCTCCTCAAATTCACTGAGAATATCGTCGAAGAATACCTAAGGAAAATACACTAAGTCTTCCCTTACGGCGCCAGAAATCAGGATAAAAAAACCAATTCCTGACAGATCATGGCGCATAGGCACCCAAACTTGGCGCCTATGTGCCTAGCTCTCGAAAACAGGCACCTATATGGGCGCATATGCACCCAAAGACGGCGCATAGACGCCAGATTCTCTGTTCAAGCAGCACCCAAGTGGGCGCTTAAGCATCCACAATCCAGCGCATAGGCGAGTGCTTTGTCCCGCTGCTCACCAAATCAGTCTCCACTCATAACAATTTCCCGCTATTTCCCGCATAGAGACTAATTATACTGAACACCAGTCCTTTGTATCTGCACCTCCATCTGAATCGCCATCACAACACGTGTTGTGATCACGTACAGTGGCTACCCCCCGCCTCAACCTTCATGAACCCACTGAAAGCATAACTTCAGTTTCTCAACACTCACCACTTTTGTCAACATATCTGTAGGATTCTCAATTGTATCTTTTCTAGAAATAACTATTATCTTCCAGAAGAAATTGAATGAAATATTACCTGAGCTATGTGTGTTTCATCCTGACATGAAAAACAGTGTTCTTAGAGAGATGAATCGGCCTTCCAATCCCCTGCTTCTTGCTTAAATCTGTCATAGAACTCTGTAGCCAAATCATCTCCTTGCTAACATCAGTAACAACAACAATATTCGACCTCTGTAGTAGAAAGTGCAACGATTTTCTGCAACTTGAAAACCCAACTCATCACTGTGCTCCCAATTTCAAGATAAACCTAATTTCATGATATACCCTATTGTATTCCTATTATCCACATCTCCTGCCAGATTTGAATCCATGAATCCCTGTAGACCAATCCCTGCACTTCCATAGCAAAGTGCACTGTTGATTGTTCCACTCAAATACCTGAGAATCCACTTTCCCGCCTCTCAATGATGCATGCTCTGATTGCATATGTATCTGCTGACTACTTCCACTACATATACAATATTTGTTCTGGTACAAATCATAGCATATATCAAACTTCTAATTACTGAAGAATACGAAACTCTCTGTGCTTATTATGCTTCAGAGTTAGGCGACAACTCCTTAGATAGTTTGAAGTGACTACTTAAGAAATTACTAACTAGTTTCGCCTCACTTATGTTGAACATCTGTAAGATGTTCTCAACATACTCTGCCTGAGACAAATTTAGTGCTCCTGCACTGTTGTCCCTGCTGATTCTCATTTTGAGGATCTCCCTGTTTGGACATTAACTTTCATCTCAAACTCACTTGATAACTGTTTCTTCAAATCCCTGATTTTCTTCATATTTATCCCTACAAACAGCATGTCATCGACATACAAAAGAAGCAAAATATAACAGTAACTGAAATGTTTGATCAAACAACAGTGGTATGTCTGACACTTCTTGTACTCACTGTCTGACATAAAACTGTCAAACCTCCCGTACCACTGTCTCGGAGCCTGCTTCATGTCATAAAGACTTTTCTTCAATATGTTGATCAAACATTATTTTCCTAGAACCTTAGAACCTTGTGGTTGCATCATGTACAACTCCTCCATGTAAGAAAGTTGTTTTTACATCCATCTGCTCCAAATGTAGATCTTCCTCTGATACCAGACTCAGCACAACCCTGAAGATCATCATCTTCCTACTAGGGAGAAGATCTCTGTGTGATCCACTCATTCCTTCTGCAGGAAACCCTTCACAACAAGCCTTGCATTGTAGCGCTTGCCGCCATCTGACTCTTATTTAAACCGGTAGACCCGCTTATTGTGTAGTACTCTTTTGTCATTTGGTAGTACTATCAAATCCGAAGTTTGATTTAACTCCAAATATTGCATTTCTTCATCTATGACAAGCTGTCACTCCCTTAAATCTTCAACTTAAGTGGTCTCCTAAAAGTACTCTAGTTCACAATTATCAGCTAGTAAAAAATAGTGTAAAGAAGGAGAATACATGTGTACTGGTCGTGTCACTCTGTTGGATCTTCTGACTTTTGTAGCAAACGACTAAGGAACTTCCAGTGCTCCTTCTGGTTGATCACTTGTTCTTTCTCCATCTTCCTGATTACAAGTATCTTCTATCTCAACATATCTGAATTCCTCAAAAGTATCTGACGAACAATCCTAATTTTTAGTCATATCTTTGTACATCTCCATTTCATTGAATATGATGCCCCCGCTTCTAATGAATTTCTGATTCTGGTGATCTCAGATTGTACTCAAACTCATTTGGTCATATTCAATGAAGGTGCATTTGACATATTGTAAGTCAAGCTTGCTCTTGGACCCTGTATAAATAAGCACATATGCAGAATACTCAAATACTGATAAATGAGATAGATATACATTTTTGTCACTTCAAGCTTCTTCAGTAAGCCTTCCTTCAAAGGTGCTAATGGACTAGGCATATCAGATAAACTGCGGTATTAACTACTTCAGCCCAAAACAGTTTTGGCAAGCCTGCATGCTACCTCGTGCTCCTAGCACGATCCGTAATTATTCTGTTCATGCGCTCAACCACACCATTCTGCTACAATTATCTTCGGACAGTGAACTCATGTTTGACCCCCTCTCTAGCACAGAAATTTCTGAACTTCTGATCACTGTACTGTTAACCTCATTTTTAGTGAGGTCTAGTTTTCCTCTTAGGGTTTAGGATCTAGCCTTAGGGACCTCCCTTCAACTATCTTAGAACCCTAGAAATGAGACCCGCCTCGTTTTAGAAATCCAACCCACTTCTGTACTCTTTTGTGGTTTCGCGTGTGTGGTATATCGACTTCTAGCACTTAGAATGATGAAACCAACATGAGAAAACCCAAAAGTGATTCCTATATGACCTTTTAAGCCTTAGGGTGGCCTTTTGCACAATTCGCACTCCCGCGCGCACAAACTTCGCAATTCGAAGAGTCGACACGTCAGATCGGCACAATTCACATCGCTTGCACTGTTACCTGTCGAAGACTCGAACAGACTTTTCGAAACGATCGATCACGAGTCGAAATTTTGTGAAATTTGAATTTTGACGCGTTTTTGACCCGATTGTCGACGACGTCGTCCGAGCGACCCACGATG